GGCCCAAGAACGCGGCACAGAAGGGCGCTCTGAGCCTCCGAACTCGTTTCTCTGGCATTTTTAATCTGAAGCGCAGAAAATAACTATTTTTAAAAACGTGCAATTGCACGCCTAATTCCGAATTAAGGAGGCCCAACATCTGGGGCTTCTCACATCGGAGAGAGTTAAAATATTATCAAATTAAGGCCCGGAATTAATTCGTATTGACTTATTAATACCGACTGGCCATTACAGTTTACTTTCCCCCAACTTGCAATTGCTCTGGTCGTTACGGAGCTCTGCATCGTCCCCCAAGGACGGGGGACCGTGACCCCCTCCATGTGCCCTGGTCCTGTTCGGCTGGACAAGGTCACTCATCGGGAAACAGCGTCAGCATCTTTCCGCTCAGCCCCTCTCCGAATGCCCCTCTGCTCAGAGCACCTGCTGCCGGAATGAGGCCGGCCCATTGCCACACAAACAGGCGCCCCCTCCTGCGTCCCCCGCACGGCATCGGGGCCTTTGCTGCATCGTTCTCCCCGGCCCTCCATGCTGCTGGTCACTGGCCCCTCCACGGCCACCGATTGGGTAGTGTTACTATCAACTACCCCCACCTGCTTTCAGGGCTGTGATGCACCAAGCTCAGCCTTCCTCCTACAGGGGGCAGGCATAGGGGGCGGGCACAGGGGCGGGGTCCAGGGGGCAGGGGGGCAGGCATAGGGGGCGGGCACAGGGGCAGGGTCCAGAGGGCAGGGTTCAGGGAGCAGGGTCCAGGGGGCAGGGGGCAGGATAGGGGGCAGAGGGCAGGTGCAGGGGGCAGGACAGGGGGCAGAGGGCAGGGGCAGGGGCAGCTGTAGGGGTCTACGCCTCCTCCTGCCCTCCTGGAGGTCACTGTCCACAATCAGAACCCACGGGATTCTGAGCTGAAGCCGAGGGGAGTGTGCGGCCCCCACAAGCTTTGTTTCCATTGCCGCATCGCTCCTCACATTTGGACTCCCTCGGAGAGCAGGGTTTGGCCCCTGCCACCTGCTCCTCCTCGTCTCGCTGGTCCTCACTTTCCCCAGCTGAGCACCTGGGTGCGGACAGCCCCCGCCCCACAGTGTCCTTTGGAAAGAGACTAAGCAGCGGGTGCTGAGTGGCCAGTGAGCATGAGCACTTACAGCGCCCGGCACAGGCCGCGAGCGCCCGGCGGGTTCTCTTGCGTGGCTCTGTCTTCCCACAAGTCCTGCTGGGAAGAGCTGGTCAAGGACATTCCCAGGCTTCCATGTCGGGGAAACGCACGTGATTGCTGACATGGGGGGCAATTATCACAGGTTTAGCCTCAGGGTGGGGGTGGGGCGTGGGGAGCCTCCATACATGTCGGGTGCACTGCCACGTGGCTGTGGCCTGCTATCCTCTCTCCAATGACTTCCGCCCTGACGTCACACACGGGATAAGGCTTATACGGAGTCTGGGTGGCCTGTGAGAGCCGTTACATCAGCTGAGCACCTGGACAAAACTCCTACTGCCTCTTGGATCTCAAAAAAGCTTTGGAGAATCACAAAAGTGTGATTCCTCATGGACACCGAAATTCTCTCCTGCTTTCCCCAACACGTCATGGCCAAAGGTGTTGTTTTCTTTGTCTTTTAAAGTTTGCTCAACATTCAGTGAGTTTGCCTTGCTTAGAAACAAACAAAAACAGCCGAAGCCGGTGTGGCTCAGCGGTAGAGCATCGATCTGTGGACTGAAAGGTCCCAGGTTCGATTCCGGTCAAGGGCATGTACACTGGTTGCGGGCACATCCCCGGTAGGGGGTGTGCAAGAGGCAGCCCCCTACCGGGGATGTGCCCGCAACCAATGTTTCTCTCTCATCGACGTTTGTAGCTCTCTATCTCTCTCCCTTCCTCTCTGTAAAAAAAATCAATAAAATATATTTTTTTTTAAAAAGAAACAAACAAAAACATCCAGCCAGCTCTGTGGGAAACTCAGCACTCAGGTGGGCCTCTGGGGAATTCAGAACCTGCATCCCCACAACCCGGCTGTCTGGCTGTCGAGTGGAACCTGGGATAAACAGACAAACTAACCCATGACAGAGCGAACACTCAAGTCCTGTGACATTTACAGAAAGAAGAGGCAACGCCGCTTGGAAAAAAGCTCTCTGGGATGAGTTTGCCGACAGTGGCCTTCTGGTATTGTAAGGGTGAAAGGTGACTTTTACCAACTCAAAACCGTAGCAAATGAGGGAAGGCCCAAGATCTTCCGGTACCATTGTTTTAGAAAAGCCCTTCTTTCTTTATTTATTTTTATTCTTTATTTTATTTATTTTTATTTATTTATTGGCTGTAATTTAGGAAATGTCCCTGGACTCCGAATTTTCCCGGTTTCTTTCTGTATTTTTTCTCCTTTTTCTGGACATTCGGAAGTGGGCTGCATGGGCCGCGGAGGAAAAGGGCATGTTATAAGAACGATTAGCGAGACACAACCGTGGGGGTGGATTTGCCATTTGATTCCGCCTCACGGGAGCCGGGAGGAAAGAAGGGTGGGGGAGGTCTGTGGCAGAGACTGCTGATAAATATTCAAAATCCAGTTCCCTTCCCGCCTCACTCGCAAACCCCTCTACTTTGGCAGGTAGCCATTTTCCCACTTACAAAAAAAAAAGAAAGCACACCTCCCATTTTCCCTTGCAACGGGGCAGCCCATGACAGGCAGGTGGGAAGTGCTGAGAGGGTTTTCTGGAACACTCTCTAAGGGCGCTTGCTCCGCTGGGGGGAGGGGGTATGTGCTGTAAGCCTTGCCCTGGGACACGGGCCTAAGAGCTGGAGGGGCAGCAGCCATCTTGGCACCTTGAGGAAAGCAGCACTGGCATCCTGACCTCCTGAGGCCTGAGCCCAGGCCAGCAGCACCTCCTGACACTTCTCACTGAAGGACCAGAGCAGAGTCCAGAGTGCTAACCATTACACCATTTGTCCACCACCCACAACGGAAATATCATGGCTGGCATGTACATGAGGAACTGTTTGATGTTGAAATTGGGACTCAAAAGAACTGTTGGCCCAGAAAGGAACTCACTACAGACTGATTCATTTTGCCTCTCAGCGTAACCATTATGGCTGGTCTCATTTTCAGTTCTTATTAGGGAATTCCTTGTATCACATGATCTCACGCATCTAGGGGAAATAATGAACAGCAGAGACTGATGAACAAGAACAGACCCGGAGACAGAGAAGCATGGATCAGACTGTCGGACCTCAGAGGGAAGGTAGAGGAGGGTGGGGGAGGGAGAGATCAACCAAAGGCCTTGTGTGCACGCATATGAGCCTAACCAGTGGTCACAGACAACAGGGGGGTGGGGGTATGAGTGGAGAGGGGTTTGGGATGGGAATAGACAAATATGTGATAGACAAATATGTGATACCATAATCAATAAAGACATTTTTAAAAAATAAAGAAAAAATAAAAATAAATAAATAAAATAAGCCAAAAAATAAAAATAAAATGTCAAACTAAATACATGTTTTTAATAAAATAAAGGACCAAAACAAAAGCCTTATTGGTTCCAACCACAGGGATCAGGCCGCTGTCATTTGGAAGCTGAATGGCAGAAGGCCCTTCGTTTCCAGCTTTTCTGTTTTCCGTGGGAGATGGCAGAATTCAAAGTAAGGTTCACCTGGAAAATCACAAAACAAAGCTCAGGAAGTGACTGTGATTGTTGTAAACATACATGCCTCCTCCAAGCCTCAGCATCACCGAATCCCAGCCACAGGCTCCTTCCGCCTTCACTCCTTCTGCCCCACCACCGCCTCCATGACTCCCGGGTCTCAGCTCGCACATCACTCCCTTCCCCAACCCCTGGTGCCAAGCTGTGAGCGCCCACCACGCCCGGCTTCCCTGTTCCGGCCACGCCTCCCCCTGTGGCCACTCTCTGAAGACCCCACTGCCCTTCCGACTCCTCCCCGTCAGAACCAAGTGGACAGACACCCGACCACCCCCCAATCCCTCCCGACCCCCACATGTTCCGCATCATGATGAGTGTGAGTGAGTGAAATACATGTTTCTTCTCATTTACTCGGATTTTTATAGCTTTTCCCTGTGTCGGTTGCCTCTTAATGTCTCCATACTTCTGATTCCATTACCTATTGTAATCAATATTCCAGAGAGCACTAAGGACACACATTCAGAAGGAAAATAAACTCCATTGAGTCCCTGAGGAATCTCTTACTGTAGCTTTTGGTGGAAAGGGAATTCAGGGACACCCAACTGGAACTGGAAATTCAAAACTACTTTGACCCCCGGCTGCCCCACCTTAAGCAGCATCCTGCAGAAATATTAGGGTCTGGTCTCTGGGAGCACGTATAAGGATGTGCACGTTAGAGTCATTTATAGCAGAAGATTAGGACCCACATCAACATCCTTTGGTAGAGAGTAACTAAATGACCTGAGTCTTCCGTATGCCATATATATATTATTGATTTTTTACAGGCTAGAAACATCGATGAAATACCATGCAGTCGTCATAAAGAATGAACTGAGCATACGTGTCCTGCTAGGGAAAGACGCCTTGAACACATTCATGAGGACACTTGGGTTGTGCGATATACAGTGAGTTACAATCTATGTGAAGAACGATGTAATATGAGTGTGTTGAGTGTGCACATGGGCACAAATAGCTCTGAAAGAAACATGGTCAGCAGTGGTTGACAGCCAGGATGAGATTCCAGGGAAAGGAGGAAAAGAGGGATTTTCACTTTCTTAAAATTTATTTTCCTTCTTGTTTAAATCTTACCTATTCTTGGATATTGCCTGCTATGTTACCCCCAAATAATAAACTTCCCACTTAAAAAAAAAAAAGCAATAATTAAGAGATGAAGAGGTCAGGATGCTATAAAGCAATGGCCACAGATTCACAGAAGGAGAAGAGGTGAGCATGACCAGGGTGTGGTTTTTCCCCACTTTCATTCTTACTCCTACAGATGCCAATATAAACAGCCCCGCGAGGTAAGAAGGACTGGCTTTATCTTTTTCCTTAAAATTCAGGAAAAACAGCCAGAGCCGCCGTTGCCAGCGACATGTACAAGGTAATCCAAAGGTCCATGGGGCCAGCCAGTCTGAGTCTACTCACCTTCAAAGTCTATGCATCACAGAAAAAAGGACGCAACTCACAAAGCTCCTGTGAACGTTAATGAGCTTTCACTCTACTCTGTTCCCGAAGTTCAGTCTAAATATGTGGAGGAGCCGAGGTCTCAACTTGAAGAGAGCATCTCACATCTCCGACAGTATTGCAAGCCATATACAAGTTGGTGTCAGGGAAAGTATTCCCAAACTGAGCCCAAGATGAAAAGTTTGGTTCAGTGGGGGTCAGACAGCTATGAATTTCTCCAAAATGCTCCTCCTGGGTTTTTTCTAAGACTTGGTGTTATTGGTTTTGCTGGCATTGTTGGACTCCTTTTGGCTAGAGGTTCAAAAATAAAGACGCTGGTATATCCACCTATTTCCATGGGATTAGCTGCCTTGCTGTATTATCCACAACAAGCCATCGTATTTGTCCAGGTCAGTGGGGAGAAATTATACGACTGGGGTTTACGAGGATACATAGTTATAGAAGATTTGTGGAAGGAGAACTTTCAAAAGCCAGGAAATGTGAAGAATTCATCTGGAAATAAGTAGAATACTCCAGGTTCAGCCCGTTTTAATCAGTTATAGGTAAACATTGGAAACTCCATACAATAAACCAGTGTTTCTAAAGAAAAAAAAAAATTTTTTTTCAGGAAAAACGCAAATAAGCTCAGAGGATAAGTGATCACCCAGGACCCCCTAATTGGCTGGTAGTAGGGCCAGGCCTTCATGCAACAAGGATTATCGAGCCCTTAGCACATGACTTATGTTTTCTGAGGCTCGGTTTCCTTGTCTTTAAGATGGGGAAGCTAGTGCAGGTAGTCTGAAAGTAAATGAAATAAAAACAAACACAAGGATTTCTCATGCAGTATTTGCCAGATAAAAGCACCTATAACTACCCCACACTGATAGAACCAGCTCGGTCATCTTGCTTGTTTCTCTTTGCCCTCCTCACTCTGCAATTGCGCTATGATGTATCTCCACGTACCTGTTTCACACTGCTAGAACATTTCCATTTACACCCCACGGCTCCACACCTCTTCGATGTCAGCTATTTCCATTTCTCTCATAGAGGGGGATGTTACTCACGTGTGGCTTCCACTTCGCTGATTCTCTCTCCAGCTCTTTCTAATCTCTTGTTTACTCTGTTCAACATTAAAGAAAAAAATCTCCTGTTCCCAATTTTCTATGATTACTTCTTGTATTTAACAAGTGTTTCTTTATTGTAAGGGTGATATTTCTTCCTTAATCTAGTTGAGAATTATAAACACTTATTTTAAATCCTGTCATGTGTGTCTGGAGCTGCATAGCAACATGGCAGGCAGTTAAGTGTGAGGGATTCAGAGGCAGTCTGTTTAGGTCAATTCCAATGCTGTCATTTGACTGTAATTCTATTGCTTTCTGCTTAATAAAGATAATGATTACAATGCATACTCCACAGAGTTTTTATGGAGTTTAAATGAGTTGGTCCATATAAATCATTTGGGACCAGGCCTAGCGTACACTCAGCCTTCAAGACATGTTAGTTATTGTCATTATTTCTATTTCCTCAGGTTTGAATTCTTTCCATGTGGTGGGTATACTGACTGTCATATAGATAGATAGATAGATAGATATTATTGATTTTTTACAGAGAGGAAGGGAGAGGGATAGAGAGTTAGAAACATCGATCAGCTGCCTCCTGTACATCCCCTACTGGGGATGTGCCCAAAACCAAAGTACATGCCCTTGACCAGAATCGAACCTGGGCCCCTTCAGTCTGTAGGCCAACACTCTATCCACTAGGCCAAACCAGTTAGGGCCTGACTCTCTCTTGTTGCATTGAATTTCTTCATGTGCTTTTTAACTTTAATTTAAAATGTAAAATTGCAGAGAAGTTTTCCCTTGAGGCCTTCTCTGTCCATTGGTTTCGTGAATGGTACAGCCCAGACCTCCAATTGCCCCAAGCTAAAACAGGTCTCACATTAGGGGTCCAGGAACCTTCCAATTCCAGAGCCGTTGCTATAACTCTGCATCATACAGGTCCCTGGAAGTGACGCTTAGACCCAGTTTTTCTGATTCACAGGCATCTTAAAGATGCAACCCAGCCCAGCTTGCAGGGGACAGGAACGAAGCTCTCTGAGGGAAGAGCCAGGCCTGTTCTCCTCACCCAGCAAGGCATGGAGCCTACACACCATTCAAGCCCTGTTAATATTATTCACTAAACATTAAAAGACCATCCTGATGATTTTTTTAAATATATTTTGATTGATTTTTTACAGAGAGGAAGGGAGAGAGGGATAGAGAGCTAGAAACGTCGATGAGAGAGAAACATCGACCAGCTGCCCTTGCACACCCCCTACCGGGGATGTGCCCGCAACCAATGTACATGCCCTTTGACCGGAATCGAACCCGGGACCTTTCAGTCCGTAGACCGACGCTATACCACTGAGCCAAACCGGCTTTGGCCTGATAATTTTTTTAATTAACTCTAGAGAGAAAAGGAAGGGGAGAGAAAGAGAGAGAGAATCATTAAAGTGAGAGAGAAATACCGATCAGCTGCCTCTTGCACACCCCCTACTGGAGATGGGGCCTGCAACCCAGGCATGTGCCCTGACTCGGACTAGAACCAGTAACCCCTTGATGCAGGGGATGACGCTCAACCCACTGAGCCACACCGGCCAGTTGATGATTTTTTTAAAAAGCCAAAATATTTCAATAGATGGAAGACTCTCTCTGGTGCCGGCCTGAGGCTGCGATTTGCCGATAGGTATATAAAGACGGTGTTTAGGTCTTACTGCGCCTTTAGATGCTAAAAACAGAAGGACCATAAGCCTCCAAAATCAAGAGAGGACGCATAAAGGAGTCCCAGCTCACCTCGTCCTCCTGGGCCTTTAGTAAGGGGTCTGCTCTGTTTGGAGCTGATCCGCCTCATTCTGTGAGGTTGCGTCCTGATACTGCTCACTCCCACCGTCCCGTCCTATTGGCAATGAATTCATTTAAGTGCTTAAGTAACAGCCAGCAATTGTTTCAGCGTCTATGTGAAGTTAGCCCGGTGCAAGGCAGGGGTAATTCAGAGGACTGTAAGCCGGAATGTGACCTCAAGGGCCACATGGTCAGGCTAAAAAGATAAGCACTAGACAGTATGGACACTGTGGAGAACTGTATGGGGTTTCCTCAAAAAACTAAAAATGGAGCCAGTGATCCCACTTCTAGGAATATATCCCAAGGAATCAGAAACACCAATCAGAAAGGACATAGGCACCCCTGTGTTCATAGCAGCACAAGTCACCACAGCTAAGATTTGGAAACAGCCTAAGTGTCCATCAGCAGATGAGTGGATTAAAAACCGGTGGTACATATGCACAATGGAATACTACGCTGCTGTAAAAAAAAAAAAATAATAATAATAATAATAATAATAATAATAATAAAGGGCCGAGACTGGTTTGGCTCAATGGATAGAGTATCAGCTTGGGGACTGAAGGGTCCCAGGTTCGTTTCGGGTCAAGGGCATGTGCCTTGGTTGCAGGCACATCCCCAGTAGGGGGTGTACAAGAAGCAGCTGATCGATGACTCTCTCTCATCGATGTTTCTATCTCTCTATCTCTCTCCCTTCCTCTCTGTACAAAATAAATAAAATATATTTTAAAAAAATAAATAAAGGAACTCTTACCATTTGCAACAGCATGGATGGACCTGGAGAGCATTATGCTAAGCAAAAGTAAGCCAGTCAGAGAAAGATAAATACCACCTGATCTCACTTATTTGTGGAATATAATGCACAACATAAACTGATGAACAGAAACGGATCCAGAGACAGAAGCATCGATAGACCATCCAACCTCAGAGGGAAGGCAGGGGAGGGGTGGGGGGAGGGGAGGAGATCAACCAAAGGACTTATATGCATTCATATAAGCCTAACCCATGGACACAGACATCAGGGGGTGAAGGCATGAGTGGGGGGTTGGAGGGCAATGGGGGGTAAGGACACACATGTAATACCTTAATCAATAAAGGAAGAAATTTTTTTTTGAAAGAGGTACTAGAAACCTCCAGAAATCAAGAGGCAGACTTAACATTGAATGGGGGGTTGGGGGGAAGAGGGCCAGGGGGAGAAATGGGAGGGAGACACGTGGGAAGTGATTTGAGTCCGTGGCCTGCACAGGGAAGTGGTGAGCCCCCATCCCTGGGGCCTGCCCGGGAAGCCCGGATGTTCCTTCCTGGGTCATAGCGCACAGGAGGCCTGCAGACACTGGGCCAGCCGGTCTGTGTGGTTCCTGCCATCCCAGAGGCCCTGGAGCCTGCACCGGACAGAAGACACTGTGGTATCAGATGCCATAAGCTGAACGGCATCCTCCAGCAAGGGGTGCCCCATGCCGCCCGCAGATCAGGCCTGAATCTGAGGCGGATGCTGCTGGGCAGCCGGAGCCGGTGCAGGCAGAGCTCAGTGACCGGACTCCCTGTGCCTGGGCGAGGAGGTGCGTGGGGAGCAGCGATGTTGGTGCCGGTGGAAAGGCCACGGGCCCCCCGCCATGCTGAGGGGGGCTCCGGGCAAAGCTACACTGCCTGCACACCTAGCGCTACAGGAATCGTTTGACATCAAATAACAAGGTGGTACAAGGCTCCCTTGTCATTTTTTTTTTTTTTCACCATTAGAAGATGTATTGTGCGTGACACCGGAGCCATGTGGGAGGGCAGGGAGCCACACGGCCCGCTGCCTGCATCCTGCGCTCGGCTCAGCGGGCCTGGCGTGGGGACCGGGCCGCCACAGCCCTCACCGCGGCCACTGTCCGTCCCCGAGGCCTGTGTGTCGCTCCGAGGCCGCCACGGACACCACGCGGCACACACTGCTGCGCCTCAGCCTCCTCTCCGCTGGCCCAGCAGCGCCTGCAGGGACACGCTGTCCTCTCCGGGGCAGGGTCGGCAGTGCTGCTTAAGGGCTCTCGTTATTATGTTTAAGAAGCCAGAAGCTTGCAGAGCGCTGGCACTTAACTGTGGATGGGAAAACAGTTACATTCTGCTCCTAATATAACTTGTTTTTTGATAAACAAAGACTTTCTCCCCTTCCATGTGAGCCGCTGCCACCCCCAGTCAGTCACCCAGGCATCACCCCCACACAGACTCCCGAGAAACTGCCCGGCCGGCGTGGCTCAGGGGTTGAGCGTCCGCCTGTGAGCCAGGAGGTCGCGGTTCTATTCCCGGTCGGAGCGTTTGCCCGGGTTGTGGGCTCCATCAGTCGGGGGCGTGCAGGAGGCAGCCAATCCATGATTCTCGCTCATCACTGATGTTCCTATCTCTTGCTCTCTCTTCCTTCCTCTCTGAAATTAATAAGAATGTATCTTTTTTTTTTAAGGAGCAGAAACTTCTCCAGTGGAACGGATGTCTCTGTGGGCCTGGCAGGCCTAGGGATGGCCCCCCAGGGGCCCCCGTGCCTCCTGGAAAGGTCCTGAGCCCCCTGAGGTGCAGAGAGAGTCCCCATCCTTTGGAAAGGCTGCAAATGCCAGCACCGGTGTGGTTTCTCTTCTTTTTAGGGGGAAAAAAAAGTACATACGCCTTGTCTGTGAACAGTAAAGAAAAGGAGATCAAATACCTGGGGGAAAATGTATTTACCAAAAAAAAGCGGGGGGGGGGGGGGGATCCTGGCGATTCTTTTCTTAATT